ATACACTTAGAGGACACACAAAAGAATGCTGAGAACTGGGGTTATAACACTTGTACCATTTTTGAGTCCTAGAATAGCCAAGGAAGATACACTTAATAGATCCATTCCAGGCCCAAGATTATGAACAAAAGACACTCACCCAAAAATTCTGGGAGTAAGAGGAAAAGGAGACAAAGTAGGAAACAAAACGGAGAATGGAGAGTGACCTTCAAGGATAGACATGGGCATGCGGTTAATAAGAAAGCAAGATGTAAGTACAACATCACTCCAAAAGTGTTTGGGAATATTCATATGATGTAAGAGGGACCAAGCAGTTTCCAAAAGGTGACGGTTCTCTCTCAGCCACCCCATTTTATTGAGGGGTGTAGGTACACGGGGTTTGATGGATAATGCTATGTTGTTCCAAATATTCTTGAAATGGTGTGAAAAAATACTCGCGGCCATTATCAGAACGAAGAATTTTAATGTGTACACCAAATTGATTGTGAATCTCAACATAAAATTTTTGGAAGATAGAAAACAATTCACTCATTTCTTTCATAAGGTAAAGCCATGTCATCCTCGAATAGTCATCAACAAAAATTACAAAGTACTTCTAACCATTATAAGACACTATTATGTTTGGACCCCAGATGTTCGAATGGACTAAAGAAAAAGGACTTGACATACGGCTATCAGCTCTAGTGTTAGAATGTTAGAATGAAGTCTCTTTGTATGAGTGTTCGGCTGATAAGAGTTCTTATTAGCCCATACTTAAGTTTAAGTTATCCTATAGCTGGGCCTGTGTTAATGGGCCTAAGCCTGTTTAATGTTTTAAGTTAACTGGGTGTCCCATCACTAATCAGGGGCATTCCAGTAATTACTTGTATCATTGTACTACATTCAAATATAAATAATAGCATGGTCGACTGGGCAGTACAGTTCGACATTCACAGCATATCAGTGGTGTTCTTCTCCTCTCCTCTACTTCGAGTACAGCTCTCAAGCTCACATCTAGGACTAAAGGGAACACGATGATGTTTCCCAAATTGACATGACTCACAATTCAAAGTAGAGAGACGACTCAACGACAGAACAAGTAATTGAAGAGCTTAAGAGACGGATGACCAAGTTTGCAGTGCCACTGAAGAGGAGAAAGAGATGTCTAAAAGGTTGTTGTTGAACCACCTCCATCAAGATTATACAGTCCACCAGTTTCATGCCCTCCACCAATCTTCATCCCCGTCTTGAGATCCTGAAACAAACAAAAATGGTAAAAAGTGATAAAGCAATTAAGAGATTTAGTCAATTTACTAACAGACATCAAGTTAAAGGGAAACTTGGGAACATGTAAAACTAAGGATAGGGATAATGAGTCTGTGTCAACATTACCAACACCACATATGGAAGATGTAGAACTGTTGGCAAGAGCAACAGATTGTGATGTGGAGGACGGAGAAAAGTTTGGATGTTAGTCATATGCTCGAAAGCTCTAGAATCTATAATCCAGTAGGAAGGTTTGGATGCCAAACAAGCCATACCTGAGTGTGCAAGGGTAGCCGTGTTCTGCTGAGACATACCCTGAATGAACCGCTCATACTCATCCCGTGGAACACTCATCATCTCCTTTCTAGAGGCATCTATAGATGTAGAAGGTATCTGATCAATTTGTTGAGATTCCTGTCTCGAACCCCCACCAGTTATGACTACATGATTTGCCCAGGTTGAAGGTGGTCCGTGTAGATCATAGTAGTTGATAGTATGTCCCTCCATACCGCAATGTATACACCTCCTCTGACCATTACTACGTCCTCTACCACGGGCTCCTCTTGAGTCTCGACCTCCAACACGACCACCACCACGACTATACATGCCACCATCACCACAACCATACATGGGTCCACCACACTATCACGGCCAAGCTGACCTTCTAGAGCTCCTCCTCTACCTCTATGACCTCCCCCTCTCATTACTGCAAATGCAAACCTATCTGATATGGTGGAGTTCTCTGTGGGTCCAACTGAGATCCTTCAGAGATGAGCAAACACTTCCTCAAGAGAGGGAAGAGCAGACCCACCTAGTATTTGTGCTCTTACTGGTTCATATTCAGACTTTCAACCCTACTAAAAATTTGGTCACATCCAACTACTCTCTCTGTTGTTGCTGAATTTTGACATCAGGTGTAAGAGGGTGATACACATTCAACTCATTTTGCAGATTTCTCATACTTGCATAATAGTCCTCAAAGCTCTGATTCCCCTGTTGCAAATTGAAATACTCTTGGTACAGTTGGTAAACCCTAGTAGTGCTATCTTGTCCAGAATAAAGCTTCTTTGCATGATCCCAAACCTCCTTGACTGTATCTAAAAACATAAAGTTCACACTAATTTTGGGTTCCATACTGTTCCATAGCCATGTCATAATTTGTGCATCCTTTTGCTCTCACTCATCATATCCTTGAGAATCAGTTGGGGGTTTATCTTCCCTCACATGCTTCACTTTCTTCTTAGCTTCAACAGATTTAGCCCAAGGCACATTATTCTCACCATTCAGTTTGATAGATGTCATCTGCACATTTAGATAATCAGGAGGGACCATTAAACTAGACTTGCATTCACTGCTGTCTCCCATGACTGCACAAGGAAAAGGGAAGAAATTCTACAACTAGTTTATCACTCAACTTCACTAATTAGCCACCACACTACACACCAACGACTGGTTACTACTAGGGTACCTACTATCATAGGTTTCAGCAACAACACTCACAGTTGTTCACCACTTTCAACAACAACACTACTGCTGTTGTCCACTTTCAGCACCATAAACCATCACAATACACCTCACAAACAGGGAATTTGGTTCTACAACACATCACAATCTGTTTCTCACTGCTACACTCATGTAATCTAACTATCTGAATTCCCACCGAACGAATCTGCACTGTCACATCCTCACACCTGAAATCAGCCCTCTTCAAACTGCCGAGTAGAGGGTTTTCTACCAACCACACAACAGCAACAACTCTACTCATTGGAGGCATGAAAACCTCCAGAACAAAATGATCAGTCCTTTTTTGCCCTTCTATGAAACTCCTATCTACCAATGAGAAATCTGCAAAACCCTAGGAGAGTATGTGCTGAATAGAGGGAGAAAAAAAGGTTGATCTGAACTAGTTATCGTGGCTCTGATACCATGATAGAATTCAGGTATAGTGTCCTTATAATTCCAGATAATAAGAAGAAGAATCTGTAGAATCAGTAGGAAGAAGAGAAGAGAAAACTGTTCTGGTCAAACTAGAGAGAAAAATTATCCTCTCTAGTCGGCCAGGCTTTATTTATACCTTTCTAAACAAATAAGAATTACTCTTATGCCCCCACTTAAGTGAGAGACACATCAGCTAACTTAAGATCTACTCATAATTACACTTAACATACAAGTTAATGTAAAATACCTATACTACCCCTCTACAGCCAACTCTAACACCTCTTGATTCATTCCTCTCGCCAAACCTAAATCCTCCATGCACCATATCATATTCTACACTTTTTTTTTCTCTACATATCCATTTAAGTCTCCTATAAAAATCGTCTCTTCATTTGCATCATAACTTGTGGTGCATAAACACTTTTATGTTAATAATTTCCCCACATAAAAGAAGTCTTATTAAAAAATTATTCTATCCCCAAATCTTTTAGCATTTACAATTTCATTTTTTAAATCCCTATCTACTATTATCGCTATACCATTTCTATTATTTACTTCTTCCATATACCATAATTTGTAGCCACCAATTTCTTTAGCTTTTTTACCCTCCCATTTAGTTTCTTGTAGGCATGCAATATTACCCATTCTCTTCATAGTGTCTACCAATTCCATAGATTTTTATGTTAATGTTTCTACATTCCAATGGCTAAACGAAGTCATGTTTCTTGGACTAACTTTTTACCCACTCCCATCCACAGGGATGTGGGGATTCTTGCCAATTGACACCACAACCAGGTGTTTCCATGGTGGGTCACTTACGGGGACCATCCTAGCAAACCTTTGCCCACTCAACACTGCATTCAGGTTAGGGTGCAGTGCATCGTTTTTGGAGAACGCCCTCCTAGTATGGGTACGGAAAGACAAATCAGGATCCATATCATGAGAGTTTGGAAAAAGTTTAGTGTCATCTACCAACCTGAGCACCCTCTTTTATCTGGGCTTGGGACCAGCAGCATAAGACAAGCTCACATTGGTGGAGTTATTCTAGAACCATTTTGATGCCCATGTCAAATTGGTTTGTCCAAAATAATCAAAGACTTGGTATAGTGGGATAGCTCAACCAAGACACAAACTGATGCAAATTGCCTCCAGCATGGAATTCCAATAGATCTTTATTTGACTAGTCACTGTAAAATAGTATTTTTATTTGCTACCACCTGGCTCTGCACTCATGCACACAACAATCACACAAGTGCACAGTGCCATTGCAAACTTGTCTCCAAATGTTGAATCCTGTCTTTTATTCATTTTTCTGATGATCCCAATAAATAGAAAAAGGCCGTTGCTCAATGACACTCCCAGCTATCTGGGGTCTTGGGAGGGATAGGCTGGATGCAGTCCTAACCTTTGGCATTTTTTCCATAAAATGACCACTCTGGAGCCTATGTTCTCACACTTGCTCTCTTGAGATTTTACCATTATACCAAGCAATGGATCCTGGTGATCCCAATAATTCTGAAAGATTATTTGATTTGGACTCCTTATAAGTAATTGAATATCATATTGTTCAGTGCTGGAAGTCATGATGTTATGTAGCTGCTGATGCTGTTATTGTGAAAATCTGCAGGTAGATGGAATGCGATGCAAAAATTGCCTTATTTGGGCTAAAAGTGACCTTTTAGTGAGAGACATTATCAAACTTGCACCAGATCTAATGGTAAGAATGTTCTTTTAAATTTTAGTTTTTCCCTCTCCTTTTTGTGGTGTTTGACTGCCTGCAAGACTGCAATGACTATTTTCTTTAGTAGTGATTCTGCATGGTGTGATTGAATGACTTAAAAAAAATATCTAGATCATCAAGTACTTGTAAATAATTGAAAGAAATATTACTCTAGTGTAGCTCAATAGATCCTTTCATCCTGATGTTGTAGTTCAACTACAATTTTCAATGGATTTGACTAGCATAGCAAGCTTTAAGCCTAGTTATCTCTAAGCTGGACTTGGGCAGCAGTTTTGTGCTTACCAGTTTGGTGTGGATCTAGTTCTTTGACTCCATTATGTCTGCTAGATTCTCTGGCTTTGTTTTGCTCCATTGTTGAGTTGTGAATCCTTATTTTCCTGAGACAATTCAAAACATTCTTTCATTAAATAAGTATCAATAAAAACTACAAAGTACTTGAACCCATTCTATGACACAACGTGACTAGGAAACTAAATATCCGAATGAACTAGAGGAAAAGGACTTGACACTCTATTATCATCTTTTGGACAAAAAGATACTCTATGATGTTTGCTTAACTGGCAAGACTCACACTCTAACTGAGACAACGACCCAGTGAAAGACCAATTGCTGCAAAGTAGGAAAAGGTGGATGGCCCAATCACCAAAGCCATTGATAAGTAGTAATAGAGGATTGAAGAGCACTGTGTGTACCGCCACCATCAAGGTAGTACAATTCTCTAGCTTCATGCCCTCCACCAAAATCATCTTCCCCATCTTCAGATCCTAAAACACACAATATGAAGGGTTGAATGAGACAGTAGTTAAAAGAGGAATGGTAATTGATTCTCCAGATTGTGTATTATGCAACAGAGCAGAAGAATCAGGTGATCACTTGTTATTGCATTGCAATTTTGTCTATAACATTTGGGTGAAAGTGCTCAAGATCTTTGCTGTCAAGAGTTGTCCAGTTTCAGTAGAAGCTTTTGTGAAAGGCTGGTGGATGCAAGGTTTAAGAAAGAAAGGAAAAGTAATCTGGCAAATGGTTCCTGGAGCAGTGTTATGGTCGATTTGGCAGGAAAGAAATGCAAGGATATTCCAAAATAAAGGTTGTCAAGTGGAGGAAGTGTCAGAAAATTGTGGGTAAGTTGTTAACTCTAATGGGACAGTGGTCTAACTCAGGATGTACTCGTCTGATGTACGGCCTCTGGTTGTACAAAGGATTTTTCTTTTTTATCAAATGAATTGATACTTTAGCTCTTCTCGAAGAGAGAGAGAGAGAGAGAGAGAGAGAGAGAGAGAGAGAGAGACCACCATTATTAGCATTACCCAGCATTAGGATCTTCAGAAATGATACAACCTTCTCTTTGACATCATCAATGTCACCATCTTGCGAAAAAATCCCATTGCTACTTGCAGCTTACAGATAAATCCAGCAGGAGACCAATCCAATGACTCAAAGTGGATTCTCAAAAAAACCTCGTCAATGTCGGGCAGGATTCAAGAGGATCATGACTGATATGGTTTCGCCCAAAACCATGTATTTGGCACAAATTATAGTATTGAAATTGGGATTAGAAGTACTCTGCCTGGTGTTGAAAGAATGGTAGGATCCATCTAATGGACGCCATGAAGGTTGTGGAATGGGTGGGCGAATTTCAAAATTTTCCTACCTTCTTCCAACTGGGAATCATATTCCCTAATTTAAGAATACAACATTCAAGGATCCTACTTGAACCATAATCGAACCAGATCTGAACCAAAAGGGATGGGAGGAATTATACCTGATCCAGAGAAACAGTATC